TCGAAACTTTTTTCTTTTTCTGTACAATAATGGTAATAAAATCAAAATTCAGTTTTCAGTTTTTTAGTTCTTTGCATGAAGTAAAGGGAGTATTGCAATCACGAAAAATTTATAGAGTGTCATATTTCAACGAAAATATTCACTTTGACTACTATCGAATGTAATTATATATATATGTATATATTTAACAAATATTATTTACTCGTATAAAGCAAATATAAAATTTAAATTAAAATTTAATAAGAAATTTTAATTAAAAAGAAATAAAAATATTACTGCTGCGAACTAATTTACAATATAATTTAAATTCTAAGATCATATGTGAATTAATTGCACGTATCTACTTTTTCCTTGTGAAACGATATATATATCTATACACAACCACTCTGTTACTCGGCTGAGTGAGCTCAGAGTTTTATTCTTATATGTTGGTAAATTGTGCATTTTGTGCTGTAAAAATTATTGAATTATGCACCAGTTAAGGTTTTTATGCCTTCAGTTAATCTTCCTGCAATAGTTGCAGAGTTATCAATAATTTAAAAGTTGTTGTTTAAGTGCAGTTAAGCCTAATTTTTTTACCATAACAGCCATATTTGTTTACATTTGAAACTTAGCAGAATAGTGAATTAAGACTTTCAGTGTCTTTTTGCCTGAGTGGAACCAAAAGAAAAACTTTCAGTAATGTTTTCTTTGTCGATCCGTTTTGTCTATCGAAGAGCTTTCTTGCCTGCTGTCCGAATTCCTTGCTTTTTCAAAGAATTGTGAAAGCTGTTTTTTTAATTATTTTGACTTTGGTGCTTTGTTTTTCTATACCTTTCAAGTTTTAATGAAAGTATTTTGAGTTAATCCTTGTATTATGGTAACTTGGCGATTTTTTGGCGAAATTTTGGTGACCAAATCTGCTACAGCAATCTGCTAGTTTTTGTTTGGACACCATTTTATTTTCACGAAATAAAGGCACTTTTTTTTCCACAAACAATCTGCTAGCTGAATTACGTTTATGCTAGAACTTTTATGGAACAAAAGTGCTTAATCATGACGAAGATTAGGTGCGAAATTGGGAGAATGTGCAGAATCGCGAACTGCTTGCCGCGTTTTTTAAGAATTGCACATACACGTACACGTCGACCTATTTTTATGTACAAAAAGTCCCAGAATTGCACAAAAATGGCATTGTGCACACTCTTGACCTTTGTCCATGTACACTGCTAAAGTCCTAGCTAGTAACCTTTATTGTCTTACCAAAATGTCGCCAAACTACGTGTTACCATATTCCAAAGATTAGCCGTATTTTGAGCTTTTACGCATTTTTGCCTTTCCGCTAAGTGGCAACTGAGAAATTGGAAAAAATAAGTTTAAAAGATATGCAGAAAAAATGTGTATAATTTAATATTTCGTACAAGGAAGTCATGTGGTGTACACATCAGAATTTTTACTAGCCTTCAGTGTGCCGCCATGCAATTTAAAAGTACTTCGCTTTGCTGCAGATATCTTCTATTTCATTGGAATAGTCTCTGATTATTCATATCTAGAACATTAAACAGTTGCGTAACAATATTTTAAATGTATTCGGGTTTTATGAAATTAAAAAACAAAGCACACCTCTTGTTTAAAACTATGGTTATATTGCCATAACAAGAAACTTTAATCCATCAACTCTGCAGCAACAGAACAATGTTAAAAATTTGCATTCAATAAATAAATAATGTTTATTTGTGTAATAAATTTATTGTAATAATGCAAAATCAAAATGTCATATTTATACACTTTAATAAAAATTAGATAACACCATTTACGAAAAATCTCAGCACACAATGTTTACAGATTAATCTCATAGCAAAAGAAAATATGTGTACTGTACCAGTTTATAAAAGTACAAAGTGAAGTCAAAAGTTGCCAAAAATAAGCATTTCTTTGAAGTAATTGGTTAAAGGCTTAATTAAGGTATCACAAGGAAGTTCATTTCGCCCTCAAAGCAAACATTTACTTTCTTAGATGCAATGCATAAATAGAATTTTTTAGCAGAAACGTCAAATTGGTATATTAAATTAGTTGTGAAAGTTTTCGCTTAATGACATAAATTGAAAGGATAAAAGCTTAAGTATTACTTTCAGTAGATATGCGCCACTAATTTAAAATTTAAAATCTGAATATTCTCATGTGTATTTGGTTATGAATATGAAAAAAAAATCTGCAGCCCTGTAATTAAATTACTTAAAGCCAAAATATGCTTCATTTTTTATAAAGAATTCCTTAACTTGCTTATTTCAGAATTCACTCTTAATATTAAATTTACTTAATAAAAAAGTATTTTAAAGCGTTAACCTTTAATGCTGTTTTTGAATTATCACATTTCAAATCCATTAATTTTTATCAAATATCATAAATACATTATAATTAATTGAGCAATTTAGTTAGTTTTTGGTTATTTCAGCTCGTAAGTCAAACTAATTAAAAAAATTCTGATGTGCATTCCACATGTCTTCCTCGTACGGCCTATTAAATTATGCACATTTTTGGCAGCACTTCATTTAAACTTATTTCCTGGAATTTCATTATACATATATTTCTCATTCAATCAATTACTTACTGTCGTTCACTGCAAGGCAAAAGTACATAAAAACTTAAATCATCTTCATTAAAAATTGTAAAAACGCAGAAAAAAAAAAAAAAAAAAAAAAAAAAAAAAAAAACATTAAATACAGTTAAAGCAGATAAAAAGTTTTTTGCATCGAAAATTAAAATTCTATTGGAAAACAAGCAATTCAGCCAACGAACAAGAACACATAAATATGCACAATTCCTGTGTACAAAATTTATTACAAGAACCTGTGTACAAGTTAAATTTCGGTCTTATTGGGCAAAAAGGCATTTTAGTTGGTGCACGAATTTATTTAGTTCACTATACTACTAAGAGTTTCAAATATAAACAATTACGTTAGGCATAGCATCCTTACACGTTTAATAAAATAATCCTTACACGTGATAATTCCACAACTGTTGTATGGAGATTAACTAAAGAAAATAAACCCTAACCGAAATTAACAGCGGCATAACTCAATCACTTTTAAAGCAAAAGGTGCACTTTTAAAGCATGCGAGCAGTGCGTGGTCAGGTGTTATACTGTTTATAAAGGGCACTGGAAAACTGTTGATAAAGGGCATTCCCCTGAATGTTTCTGTTGCACTTCGGTTGATAAACGGCATTCCCTGAATGTACGGGAGTGTCACCGGCCACAGAATATCATCCATGTATCCTTGTTCTGTCATATTGCCCTGAATACGTACTAGGGGTAGCGTGGAATCGTGCGTAATTGCGCCCCAAACCCAAAATGCTGTGTTGTTGGGCCTACCACTGTTGCTGTCGGATTGGACCTGTTTCCACATCGACGCCACAATCGTATGCGGTGACTATCATTGAAGAAACAGAAGCGTAAATTTTCTGAGAACATGACCGTAAGAGTGTACGAATCGCTAAAAGACCCTCGTGTACTTATCCACTCCACAATCACATTTTCCACATTCTTGCTCTTAAAGGCATTTAAATCCGTCTCTGAATTTTTGCATAATTCTTCGGAGGCGTAATTAATTTCTTCTGTTCAATACCTTTTAAGAAAAAAAGACTTTATTAACAAATTATATTAATTCTGCGCAACGAGTCATTTTTTATTTACCGCTCTTTTTGACTCATAAACGGTACAGAGTTTCTACCGTGCAAGATTTACCGATTATCTTCCCAGCATTTTATCATTCAGTAGAAACATTAGGAGCGCAGATGCTTTCTCACTTTTAATTACTTTAAAACCTTCAGTAGTGTCTATCATGTTTCTAAACATTGAACTAGTTTCTTTGCAGCAAAAACCGCTTAGATTCCAAGCAGAATATTTAATACTATCAAACGCAACCACTGCATACTGATCTTTAGCAACAACCATTACACACAAAATAAATATTGCGCAATACGAAAATTACTCAGCCAGACAAATAGCTTGTTTCTTGAACCACGTTTTCCTGTTAAATGATCAACGTGGTTTCCAGTTTAGACCGAACAAGGAACTGGATAAAATCAAATTAAGGACATCATAAAATGCAGCTAACAAAAATCATTATTAGTAAAATTGTAAATGGGAGGGTTAGGTTATTAAAGCAGTACAATTCGAGGTTTATCTGTGAGGACTGGGATGTAAGGCCTTTATGGAGGTCGTTACAAACTGACGTTGCATATGGGCAAACGTTGCATGTTACATATGGGGAAACCCATTGAAAGTTACCAAGTAGCAATTGCATTCTTCAGGATTCAAATCCAGGTCAATCCTCTCTTAAAAAAATCTACAACTAAGCCGCTGCAATTAAGCTTGTACAAGTGGATTAACTGTGCACTTATTTACTCATATGAGAAGCTCATCGAATCCACCAATTAGAATCTCGATAAGAGTTTGGGATCTAGAAGTGAGCTGTACATGTTTTACATTTTATTTTTAGCAATTGATATAAAACTATAAAATTCTCCTTAGGGTAAGAGAAATATCCAAAATCTCTCACAAATTAAACTTTAAAGATCAGTTTAGTTAACTCTCTTTAAACACCGCTAATTCTCAGTTTCATTACTGACTAGCTCCTTCTGGCTCTCAAATTTATGGATACAGCTGATACCTGAGCTGATAGAAACTGGGATTTACCTGAACTGATAGAAACTGAGAAAATCGTTCGTTGTGTTTCGAAAATTCATTTTAACGAATCCTAAAAAATGTCGCGTTATTCGATAAATATAGCCGAATATAGCAAGCTTGGCAACGAAATGTGTCATCAAGATCTGTCCCAAACATATTTACTGCTATCTGTCTTTCTACTTCAGCTATTTTTTCAATTTAAAATTTGTTGGAGTTTTATATAAGAAGCAAATACTTGCACCCAAACATATGGCAAAAATTTCAACAGATTAAATAACCCTAAAACTATTATTCTAAGGAATATAAGCAAATGCATAAAAAAACAATATACAATTTTAGAATAGTGCCGTCCAGATGGGAATGTGATTAGTGACTCTGACTGCAGCATCGAAGAGCACAGGTTCGAATCAAGACGAAAGCATGGATATAAAATCTGTCTCTTCATAGGAGGTAACGGTGGCCGCCTATTAGGTGCATCCATAAAAAATGACCACTGCTTCTGGCCCTAATAGTTGCAAATCCTAAAAAGAGTTAAAAAATATTACAATAATACCCAAGGTCAACAATGCAATCAAATATATTTAATTATGTATAGAAATTCACTCTAAGATAAATTAAACTTAAGACTAGTCAGAAAACCTTAGTCTGATAGTTATTTTTCATTTCATTAAAATAATAATACTGTCTTAGCTCACTGAATCTTGCACTTCTCATCTCAGTTACAAAATTAAAATTTTTGTTTCCAACAATGTTCAAAATTATGACTATTTTTTTCTTCTTGAACATTATTTCTGATTTGTGGAAGATAATATTAATGCCCATAGCTATATAATAAGTAATGTTATATGTTTTTGGAACAGTCAACTAGAATGGAAATAATTTATAATATAATATATAAAAAATTAAACAAAATGAATGGCAATAAGAAAATTCTTCGAAGCCTGAAAATTTCTGGCTTCGACTCCCACTTCTGAGTTAAATGCGTCACAAAAATGTTTCATTCACAAAAATATTCCTATAATGGAAATCAGTAACACACTGAAAAATGTATTTAATGTTTTGAAATTTTACATCTCTTGAATTCTTTAATATGTTTTCAAAACTTAAGAAAAGAATGTTTTTAAATTTATATTTAACATATGAAAGAAAAATATCAGTATACGAAAAATCTGACAATAAATGTAAGAATGAAAATATTCAGTTTTTATAAAAATTGAAATCTGTAATGGGATTGATCAAAGTTATTGAGACGAAGCGCGGAAAATAGTTCAAAGAGAATAATGTCGCAAATACTAATTCTGTCTTATTTCAAAATATGCCTCTTTTAATGGTAACTTTGAAAAGAATGATATTGGTAAAAATATGCCATTACTTTAAAAGCAGGTAATGGGATTTTTAAACATTAAATTTTATCAAACTGTTATATATTAAACATTCAAAATTTTCTTTTGATGAATGATTTCGAAAGATGAATATTTCTAATTGCAAGCAGTGATATATAGATTTTATATATTGTAGAGTTTCAGTTTACATGCTCAATATTTCTGTAAATTTTAAACGAAAATCTTCATTGCTTTGATATTAATAATCTCTGTTTCAAAGAAAAATCTATGTTTGTTTAGCTTGTATAATATATTGTTACGGATTTGGTATTTAAATAGATAATGTTAGTTGAATTATAAATTAAATTGTTTTATTCCCCGGGCAGTGCAAATGTAGCGCCTGACGAAGAAAAGCTAAGCCGAAAAATTAAATATACAAGAGCACGTGCATCCAACATTTAATAAATAAATATCTCTTTTTGATTTCGAGAAAGTTCCAGAAAATTCTCGCGAGCGATTTAAATCTTATAAAAAGGAGGAAAACCTCTCAATTCAGTTAGTTAGTTTGTTGTTGTTTTAAGAGTTTGTTTAGAAAACTTCTCTCGTTGACTGTAGTGAATTTGCGGATTAACTTTCTCTAGCTGTTTTGAATTAATTTCTCTTGAACGTTTAAATAGTTAAAAGATAACTGCTGTGAGATATTGTAATACTGAACGAATATCTGAGGAAAATTAAGCATGTTTGATGTGATAATAAATTTTGTTCATTTTTTATCGGACTTGTGCATTCAGTTCAAACGAACTCGTTCGCACGCAACAATTTTTGGTGTCAGGAGCGGGAATTGAATGCAAATAACAAGAGCGATGGAAGAACAGTTAAGGCAATTGATATCAGCCTTTGCCTCGTTTAAGGAGAAAATGAGAGCGAGAAAAGGAGAAATGAAAGATGAGATGAAATCTGGTCAGGAAAAGATGGAAGCTGGTCAGAAAGAGATGGAAGAATCCGTTAAAAAGGAAATGAAAGCCGTTCTATAAATGATGGAAGTTGTTAAAGCAGAAATCAATGTGGGCCAAGAGGAAAGTAAGAGAGAAATCACGTGCATAATAGAAAACAAATTTGAAGCTATAGAAGACAGAATTGACACGGTTGAAAACAGAGTTGGAGAAATTGAAGAAAAGGTCTCTGCCGTATAACAACAAATTGATGACAGGGTTTCTGCTGCCGTCGCAAAAGAAGTTGACAGCCTAAAGAAGTGCATGGCGACAGCAGGAAACAATTCTGAAGGTTTTAAATTTCTGTCTATGCCTGCTCGTCCCTCTCTGATATATGATATTCCCATATGATGGGAAGACCTCATGGCAAGTGTATAAGACACAATTTTCTATGGTTGATGAAGCGTATGGATCGGATTCCGAAACTAAGGCCTGTCATCTCACTTCTTCTTTGAGAGCAGACGCAGCGGATATTCTTCAGACTCTTCCCGAAAACCAAAGGGCATTTCGAAGCTCTATTCGGCGCATTAGAGCTACGGTTTGGAGAAAAATGTTTGAAAGATTACAGTAGGCTTCAGTTAAAATCCCGCCAACAGAGAACCACGGAAACACTCCCGGAACTCGCTACAGATGTTGAAAGGCTGTCCCATTTCGCCTTTTCGGAGTGCACCACAGAAACAAGAGAAATCCTGTCGCTGCACTATTTCATCGACGGCATCCGAGATCCCTGAAATACAGAAAGCTCTGCGAATGGCGGATGTGAAGGACATAAAAACCGCTCTATTGTACGCCGGGAAGTTTGAGACAGTCCAGCAAGCAACTCTTAGAGATCGCTACCCAGTCAGAGCTGTGCGAGTCCACGAGCGAGTGGATCAACTGATGGCTCGTTTAGATGATTTAGCCAGAGAAGTCAATGCTTTGATACGGAGTAGAAGTGAGAACAAAGTGGCTCTAAGTTGTTGGACATGTGATATTGAAGGGCGCATACGACGGCATTGCAGAATACCCCAGGGCACGCATAATAAAACGGATGATTTAACAAGACCAGTGAATACTTTGAGACAGAATATTGGTGAGAAGAAACCGACCCTAAAGTGCTGGAACTGCGGTGTTGAAGGCCATATACGAAGGAACTGCAGAACACCACAGAGCACGGAAAATAAGACAGACGAGTTGAACAGACAATTAAAGGCCATAGGACGAATAAGGAGTGACAAGAAACCAAAGTGCTGGAACTGTATAGCTGAAGGCCACGTACGAAGGAATTGCAGAACCCCCAGGGTACGGAAACTAATACCATTTCTTGGCAACGACGGAAGAAACAAATTAATGATGATATCGAGAAACGCAGGTTGCCAGATAATGAAAAACCTTGTTTTAAAGCACTCAAGATTTCTACAGTGAATGGCAACAGTAACGGACTGTCCATCAATGGGCATATCGATGGAGTTCCTTGCAATATGATCATTGACACAGGATCTAATGTTACTATCATTCAGAGAGATTTAGCTCAACAGTTTAAAGATAAACTTATTTGGACGCCTTCTTGTCTTAACCTCGAGACTGCATCTGGTGATAAGAACGACATAGCTGGGAAGTTAAGCGTGAACATCACGTTTGGAAGTGCCGCCTACCACCATACGGCTTATGTGGCGGATATTACAGATCCATGCATACTCGGATTGGACTTTTTAAGGAAATAAAATTTTTCCTTAGACTTCAAAAACAACAATCTGCTTTCAGCATCTGATGACATGACTATCCATCCTCAGCAGGGATCCTCAGCTGGAAATGCCGACGCCTTGTCCTTCCCAGCTCGGGAAGCTACCGAAATCATACTAGGGTCGAAAAGAATTGCAAGACTACCAGCTATTCTCCATCCCAGATGCTCTTCGGTCGAGACCTTCGTCTGCCTTGTGACCGCCTGTTCGGTCGCCCTACGGTTGCGCCTTCATTGTCTGAGAAATACATCCAAGATGTCCAGGTCCCGTTTAAAGAGATGCACCGTTCCGAACAAAAGCGAGTGAACTTGGCGACGGAGAAAGTGAAGACCAGATACGACACGAGAGCTACTGGACTCAGATTCAAAGAAGGAGACAAGTTGTGGTTGTGTAACCCAATTCGACGAAAACCCAATTCGACGAAAACCCAATTCGACGAAAAGGACTCTCCGAAATTACAGTCACATTGGGATGATCCGTACACAGTCCGAAACAGGCTGGATGGCCTCGTGGTTCAGATACGTAAGTCTTCAAACTCTGAACCTAAAGTCGTTCATTACGAAAAGTTAGTTCATTACTATGGCCATAGTACGCAATGTAAATAATTGTAAATAGTGTAAGATCACGGTTCTTTATATTTCTAAATGTGTATTTTGTATTTGATTTGTATTTAGTATTTGATAGCATTTGATTTATATTTAGTATTTGATAGTATTTGATTTGTGTTTAGTATTTGATTTGCGTTTAGTATTTGATAGTATTTGATTTGTATTTAGTATTTGACTTGTATTTGATTTGATTTATTGATTTATTTGAGTATTTGACTGTATTTGTTGTATTTAGTATTTTGTATTTATTTTGTTTATTTGTTTGGTTTTTGTAATGCTGCTTATATTGCATTTGCTTAATTGTAAGTTTGGCTTCTGTTCCCGGTTTGTAATGCCCGGGACGGGTCCTGAGAGTCCTTGAGGTGAGTGTTTACGGATTGTTATTTAAATAGCTAATCTTAGTTGATTTATAAATTAAATTGTTTTATTCCCCGTGCAGTGCAGCGCGTGACGAAGGAAAGCTAAGCCGAAAAATTAAAAATACAAGAACACATACATCTAACATTTAATAAATAAATATCTCTTTTTGATTTCGAGAACTTTCAAGAAAATTCTCGCGCGCGATTTAAAATCTTATAATAAGGAGGAAAACCTCTCAATTCTGTTACTTAGTTTGTTGTTGTTTGAAGAGTTTGTTTAGAAAACTGCTCTTGTTGACTGTAGTGAATTTGCGGATTAGCTTTCTCTAGCTGTTTTGAATTAATTTCTCTTGAACGTTTAAATAGTTAAAAGATAACTACTGTGAGATATTGTAATATTGAACGAATATCTGAGGAAAATTAAGCATTTTTGTTGTGATAATAATAAATTGTGTTCACCTTTCATCGGACGCGTGCATTCAGTTCAAACGAACCCGTACGCATGCAACAATAAAGAATATGTAGCGGTTCAGTATGGTTTTCATAAAAAATGAGGTTTCATTAAATACCTTGATAACTTGTTAGCCTTTCATGATTATTTTTAATACTATTTGAATCTTGGAATGTTCTTTTGCATTAATGGAGATTGACATCTAACTAAAACAGTAGTCAGGCTTAGAACTGACCATCACAGATCTTGGAAAATTGACATAGACGGTAGGGAAACCTACAGAAACTGTAATAATTGCATCCCGGGCACAGAAATAAAAATTGCACATATTTTTTAATGTGCAGCCATCCTTGCCGAACTGTTAAAAATTGGGGTTTTGTTTAAGAAACCAAGCCTCTAGAATGATAATATTTTGGAGATTGCTAGGAGTGTCATCCTCTTCTACGCCACTGTTTGAATAGTCCTCATCATGACATTATAAGGTATTTCTCCCGTCTTTTTAGCATGCCATCGTGGTGTAATCGTCAGCACACCAGGCGCGTAGTCAAGAGATCCGTGGTTCGAGTCCCGGCGAGGGCATTACTCCATTTTTGACGTCTTCTGCTTCGAAATAAACTAATACCTCGACTACATCATAACAACAACAATCATCTCTCGAATTCTTCAGGAGACAAATAACTTTTCTAAATCTGGCGAATAGAAGAACATTAAGAAGAGTTACTGTAAGAGCATTTAAGGTGAATTAACAATAAATATTTAATAATAGCCGTATTCTCTGGGGAAAACTTCATTTATCAATCACTAAGTCCTTAAAGTAGCTATCAGATGTTCTTAATCGATCAGTTCCGTGTAAATCCTTTTCCAGACCTACTTAACGTTACTTTCTGTAATATACGCAAATAATAATTTACAGAAATAAATTTGAAATATTTGCTAATTATTCATACATCAGAAATAGCTCTTTTATATTTAAATTAATATCAGAAGCACAAATTCTAATACAAACTTTAGGTTTTAGAGCTCGAAGCAGATTTGACATCTAAGGTTAGTACTGTTTGATGAGTTTTGAGATCAAATGGGTAATTAACCATCACATTTCCTCAATCCTAAGCTCGTGTCAACAGAAGGTTGCATATAAATTCCAATATCCTTAACAAGAGAAAAGCTTTTGTTATAAGAAAACAAAATAAATGAGACAAAATTCGGCATTATAACTAATAAATATTTAATTACATTCGGAGAATTAGGTTTATTAACAGTCTTTTGTATTTGATTATCAGTTTACATTATTCATCGTTTAATGTAATAAAATGACTCTTCTGAGACATTACTACCGCATTTATTAATTAATGCATTACTGTGAATAAAATAAAAGATCTGAACATGCCAGCTGACTTCCCTTTTGCATTCTGATATAAATCTTATCTATAGACATCCAGAAAATGTAATACAATATTATTAAAATTTACAAAATACAAACAGATAAACTATTTCGTCTCGTATCTAAGTGAGAAAGGAAAAACAGAGATTAACTATTAGAGGACCCATTCATGTTTGCAACGTTTAAATGAAAAGAAAAAATGTATGTTAGCATAAAAGAAATTTCGTCATCAAATGCATTTTAATACTGAATGCATTATGCCTCGTCTAATCTTTAGAAAAATCTGTTTACTATCACTTAACACATTTCAGTATAATAGCAGTTTGTTAATGTACTCCTTTCAAAAAATCGTAACTCATAACATCTGAGAGATTCATTCCTTAGAGAGTAAGTACTATTTGAAAGCTGACTATATTCGCAAATATTCTTTCTATGCTCTTTTTCAATTAACGAACAAATAATACTACAATTCCCTCGTTACGAATAAAAAATATAGTATTAGTGGTGATGCTGCATGTGGCTGAGCATGTTTCAGTTTGTTACATAAATGTAACCACTTTCCGAAAGAATTTTTGCAGTAGCATTTTTTCCTTTTAAAAGTTTTACAATGTTCTCTGTGTCTCTGTCATACATTAAAAAAATTGAGATTCCTCATTTTATGAGAACAAAATTAAATAGCCTTTTAGTGTCTTTTAAAGAATTTCATTATATTAAAAGGTTAATTTCTTCCTCCTTTCCGCACGCCTTAGTGGTGTAATTGGTCCAACGATAGGTCCCGTATCCGAGTCCCAGAGAAGGCGCTGCATATTTTTCACGTCTCTTGCTTCAAAAAAAAAAAATTGTAATAACTATAAACTGGCGCCCGAACTAAAAAGTAGTGGATGATAATTCGTCACCACCAGGATTTGGCGATAGGTTCCCTTAATCCCAGTTCTTTAATATATATATATATATATATTATACGTATAATATATGTTCCGGATGTTTTCGTGTACCAGCTTTTGTACGGAAAAATAGATTGGGTTAAGAATAATCATGTCTTCCTAGCTTAAGTATAAGACGATAGTTTAAAATAACAGAATCCATTTATTATTTCAGGAGAAATAGCAGTTATTAAAAATCCCATTCTCGAGTAAATAAAAAAAACTATAATAACTTTTGTATGAAGTTACTGCACGTACATTAAGGAAAGATCCGATATTCCTTTGAGAGTCCTTTTATAGCTCTGGAAAGGCGGAGCTTCCAAGAAAAGAAGCGTCAGCCATTCCGTTCGGTTTAAAATTCCAGAACATTTATAAATGTGCGTTGTAGAAAAGGCAGGACAACAACTTCTTCACTACGGGGCTGTGGATTATTCCACGTACTTTCAATAAGAGCCGTCGCCATTAAAAATGAAAAAAAACATACAGGAATTTTAAGTGATTTTGACTATGGGATTTTATTATATATATATATAAGGTAATTTCTACGTCTTTTTCGCATGTCTTCGTCACGTAAATGGAAGCATACTCGACGCGTATTCGAGAAATCCAGGGTTCGAATCCCGGCGATGACACTGTATTTCACGTCTCCTGCTTCGAAAAAACTGATTACTCTACAATATTTGTATCTTTTTTTTTTCTCTCATTTATACAAAGCACTGTCCTCGGGTCAAAAATTAACTTGAAAGCTCAACTCATCCAGTCAAGGGATAACAGAACATTTCCTTCAAATGATATATTGTATGAATATAAAATGTGTCATTGAATGGAAGTGATTTTCAATCGAGGTTTCGTGCACTTCTCTTCCACTCGAGTACAAGAGTGGTTTCAAGGGCCGTTCACAAGAGACAAGTGCACCTCTCGCATATTTGTGTTTTCGGCAACGCCTGTTCGGAAACGTTCCTGGTATAACCTAGCCTGCTCTGCGTCCCCTTGCAGGCGACATACATGAGATTGCATGTCAGCTTTCCTGTGCGTAACTCACCACCATGCTCGACACAGAGTTCGAATGATCCTCTGATGCATCGATTCGTGGTTTGTCCGGCTCCTACCGCCCTTACCGCTGCATGCAGCCAATCACAGCTATATAGTTCTATTATGTTAGTGTCCCGTTTGAACATTTATTGTGAATACTGTGTTGCTGCAAAGAAGCACTTTGCGTTGATTTTGTACATAAACACATTTTCGTCTCGTGTTGTTTGTTTGCGTTCCAGCCTTAAGCCTTCACTTTTAACCCTACATTCCTATACAAAAAATACATCTTTTAGTACTTTCCATCATCCCTCCAAGTTTGTCCCATGATCTATGAAACACCCTGCATATTCTTGCTAATGATAATTTCCCCACCATAAAGTTTTCTCTTTTCAAAATCATTCATTTAAAACGCTTTCTTATGATTTGATTATAATGCAGCGTTATCCAGTTACAAAAAGGAACTGTAGTGGAAACCGTAAATTATTTTTGTAGATACAGCGAATTCTCTAAAACGTATATCTAGAACGGAAAATTATGTTTGAAATTAGTTCTATTCTAATCTCATAAGAATGATTCCTTGAGTACATGAAGCAAAACTGTTAAAATCATGTCAGCTGTAAATACATAGAACATTTTAAAACTCAGAGATGTTTTCCATGACATATCTGGATGTAGAAGACTTCATTAAAATTTGAGGCTTTGACCATGGACTAGTGCAGACTACGGGTGCTCTAAGTTAAGAGGCTCCAAGAATTACATTAAAAAAATACATATTTTGGCTTTCTTGTATTTCTTCTTTGCAACACACAGTGATTAAAATGAGTTATATCTTAAAGGGCAGTGAACTAATATTCTGATCTATTAAACATAATTGGCAGAAATTATTGCAAGACGGTTAAAAAGATGAAGAACCCATTTCTTTGAAACAAAATTAATTTCACTCTTTGCTACTACTGAAAGAAGAGCTTTAAAGTAAATTTATCATGTGAGTAAATATGTAGTATATGTAAGAATTTAATTCAATAAATGCTGAAAGCGTAATAAATCACGGTATGTAACCATACTTAGTATTCATATCGACTTTCATGAGGAAATCACGTCTCTTTACGAAACTTTTCAATTTGTAAATTCACAGAAATATTTTTTTCCTACTCCAAATTCTTAGAATTCTGTATTGAAAAAAAAGCACATAAATAAAAATATCCACGAAAAAATATCTGACGATAATACGATATTTTGATCACGAATGCATGTTTTAGTACGCTCCACCACCCCTCCAAGTTTGTCCCATGATCTATGAAACACTCTATATTTTGTATTAAAAATACGCGCTATACGCCGCAATATACGGTAATTCATTTGGTTACACATTTGTTGTGAACACAATAAAAATATTCATAATGGTAATTAAAATTCCACTTTTTAGATTTTTTCTGTTCTTATTTTAATTGATTTTGCTATCGTCTTGAAATTAATTTCTGAAAAATGTTTTGATAAATTTCGCTGCTAACACTTGTTTCTTTAAATTCTTTCTCTTTGATTCATTTGAAATGAAGCAAATACATAAAACATGGAATTAATGTTGCATGTTGATTGCATGTTTGTCTTCTTTACATGTTCAACACATGATATTAAAGTAACATATGATGGGGTTTGATCGCTATTAGTTCATGTGAGTAAAATAAATAAATATCCAAATTTTTTACATAGGCTTTAAAATAGTGTTCATGGCGAAGAAATAAATAAAACGAATGCAACACATCCGCTTCAACATTCCTAATTCGCCCAGTTATATTTTTCAGATTTAAATATCTCTTTATTTACCTTGTTATAATATTAAATTAATCATAAAAATTCTATATTTGCAATTTTATTAATTTATGTGAATTTGTAGAGAGATTAGGTATTTATCGAAATAGTAATCAAGAAAAGTCAGCAACGTTCTCGAATTCTGGACTTCTCGAATGTATCGGGGCATTCCATTAAGCCACAAAGAGCCCAGTAATGGGGTAAAATTCTTTACATTCTCCTCACCTGAAGGTCGAATGGGAGGCAGGAAACCCTATTGCTGAATCCTGTTCGTGACGAAATATCATCCCCACATTTAGTTATGGATTTTGCTAAATGTGAGGATGTACTAAATGTGGGGACCACTTGTAGAGACCTTTAGACGTCTTTAGGGCCCGGGAATATAAAGATCAGATGTGCACTCGCCTGAATTGGAACTCTGGACATTTAGATTGCTAGCTGTCCGTGCTTCCTCTTACTTCAGGCTCGGAATAATTCCCATACAAACTGCTAAGTCACTTCTTGACAAATAAGCTGGAAAACTACCATACAAGCTGACTAAGTCACTTCTTGACAAAACCTCTGTAATTCCCACGAACACCGCGGAAACTTCAGTATCATTTATTTAAATGCAACTTTATCTAAAATAATTAAATCTATATTTAAGTCATTCTAAATTTAACGCTGAAGTAATAGAATGAATCAGAATCAGACGCAAAGAATTAAAATAGTAACATTAATTAATGTAGCTATTTCAAAAGACATGTAAACAGCAGCAGAATGAATATCATTAAGAGAGAAACATTCAACGCAGTTCTCTAGATTTCTTCATCGCGTCAGTTCATTCAGATTCAGATGATGAATTTCGCGAAATGAATACACTTGGAAAAAATCTCTCTCAATTTTACAAGTGACCAAAAATAACAGAAGTAAATAAAATTGCAGTGTTCAACTAATTAGCCATTTCTTCCTTGCAGAATTTTACATGATTTGGAGTGCTCTGAGAT